CATATAAAAACCAGCATAGACTGCAAAAAATACTGACTAACATGAGGAAGAGAGCCATTTACTTAGTTTTATCTTCACTATCAAAAACATACTGTAGAAGGGTCTTTGAGAAAGAGTATCCCCTCGGTTTCCAAAGGGTATCAGACTCCAAACTGCTAAAGCCACTACATCTTCTCAAATACCTTTGTTCATCTTGCTATGCTTAGAAACAAGCTTGGACATTAATTTTAGGCACCAGAATCACAAAACTCTATATGTTTTACAAGTCAGAGAGGGAAGAGAATTGTATTGCAAATAAAAGCATTAGCAAAGCAGAATTTGCTGAACATAAACAAAACATAAAGTAGCAACAAAGCACAGTACAGGGCAGCGTAAAAAAAGAAACAATTTGTCTACCTCAAGCCCAGCAATCACAGTTCTAAATCATTTGCAGATATGAAGAAGTAACTGATGCCCACATCAATACAAACAGCTTTATGTAATGCTTCTGAAAAGATTTTTCACCTCCAGAATTGCACTGAAACACCTCAATGGTGCGTTATTCTTTTGTGGCATCAGCAGAACAGGACTGATCAGGGATAACAGAGGACCTCAGGTGGCAGAAAGCAGCAGCTGCAGATTATACAACTGCTTTCAAACCGCTCCTAGTCATGTAATTCAGCTCAATTAAATTGCCCTGTCCCACAGACTTATATGAGCAAAAAGGTTGATTCTGTTACACTTGATCTACAGATTTGACCCTGTGAGTCCTTTTGCAAAGGATGCAAACAAATTGATCCCGCAAACAAATCTAATTTTACATACATGAGAAAAAAACATGATTCAGGGCTGTTGGTAGCTCATCTTTAAATCCTTAAATTTGATTTATAGCTTTTTTTCAGCTTCAGTTTGAAATAGTAAGAAAATTCTGATTAATTTGTAATTAGGAAGCTCTAAGTAGCCAAGCTTAAGAGAACAGCTCAGGATTTCTGCCTGAACCCTGGAAGTGCATCAAAACTACCAGCATCATTGTCTGAGGCAACAAAGCACTCTCCCTGTCAGCAGAGGACCATCAACATTTTTGGTGTTCTGTTTCACAAGGCACACTTAAACTACACCCAGCTTCTTTCAGTAACATTGTCACTGAAATCGGGAATAGAAAAACCTCTTAACACCAATGTAGCATTAAGAAGCAGGCATTCCTTATTCGACGTCAGGTGCAAGGGGCATTATTTATTCCATCCAAGCTCGCACGAATATGGTCACTTTTCTTAGCATATTTATACACAAAAGTTTCAGGATTTTGCAATCTAAGTTACAATGACTGGTTGCAATTTAAATATAATTATAATGCATTTAAATACTTGCTTAAATGCATTCTTGCATCTCAAAGATGCACTCTTAATGTTCTTGGGGTTTTTTCAACTTTATTTTTTAATTCCTTAATTTCCTTTATCAACCAGTGTCTCCTAGTCTATCTGCAGTCTTTCAAAATGTACTAGGATGTATCAGTGTCCCAGGATGTTTTGGCTACAATTACTAAGTTGGCTCCAATTATAAAGAAAACATGTCCTTGAGTGCATTCTTGTTTAAGCCCCCTTGTAACATCAACTCCAGTTCAAAACCAAAAGGTGTGCCCAACTTTTGTTTAACAACCTTGTAGCTGCGACACCCTTTTTGAAAATGGGAAATAAAAATTTCAGGTCCTTCATAGCCCAAGGGGTCTGAACTGCAGCTCCCAGGTCTGGGAGTACTCTGACAACAGAGCCACTGCTCCAGAAGCTAAGCTTACAATACACATAGAAATGCCTGAGTCGCACCCCTAAAGCAGCAATATATGTAAGAGGAGACTTCAGTCTCCACCCAGTTGAAGAATCCAGTATAATTACTCTCAGATGTTCCTCTCTTACACTTTACCTAGAGTCTTACTTTCTTATTTGGAGATAAGCCTACACTGGTAGGCTCCTAATGTACTGCTGTCTCTGACTGTACAGTTATAGAAATTTTAACTGACCTGCACAGAATGTCAGAGAGGATGGAATTAGGAGTACAACAGAATACATGTTATTTAGAAGTCGGATAAATATAACCTAGACCTTTCACCGCCAGGAAAAGTTCAATCTTTAGAAAATAAAACATGTCTATATTATACATTTTATGTTTTCATGCTGTCTCTGAATGCATAGTTAAAGATATCCAGAAACTTTTTCTTTCATATTATCTTATGAAAGCTGAGATGAAGAGAGTATGATTAGAAAATAGCAAGATTAGTCACATGCCTGTGCAGCAGGACCTGTTCTGGCACATTACTTTCATAGTTTGAAACACAGTTGATTGCACTGCACATTTTTCTAAACCAATCAGATACAGGGGATTAGATCAACATGTAGGTTCAAGGACAAATAAAGTGTAGGTTTAGCTTTCCAATGCTAACCACAGTAGTAGAAGCAGCATACAAACAGTTCATGGTCATAGTTTTTCTTAGTCATTTTGATAAAATAATGCAAATGCCAACAAATACTTATTATATTTGCATATAGTGGTTTCTGGTATTAGGCATTATGAGGTATGGATTCACCTACATAAAATTATGCAGGGTGCTCAGAAGAAGAGAATATTCAAACTTCAGATTTTGTCAATGTCTACATGAACATTTCCAATGGGGCAAACATTTCTAAATCCTGTAAAACTCCATCTAAGTATGCTTAGAGAGTTCGAACATTACACACAGAGATGACATATAGTTTGATCTGTTATGCAAGTCATGTTTTAGTGTATGACTTCTTAAAAAAATACCCTGATTCTGCTTTTAAACTGTTAAAAAAAATTAAGAGTTTTTCTGGTTTTTTTACAAGTATCATTTCCTGTATCTCACATGGAATAAACAGCTCACATTACAAGGTATTTGCAGAGTCATCCTGTGGAAAACGTTAAGTAATGCAGCAAGATAATGTTATGTTTCGTACAGGCTGTGGAAAGGCAAACCTGTGGCTGGATGCGCGTCAGAGCTAGCATGAGAGCGTACTGCAAAGAAGCAAGGATACTTAGAGCCACTGAACAATGTTAGTACTGATGCCAGCTGTTGTTGCAGGCTGGAAGAAGGGAGAGACAGGGGCTACTGCTGTTTGCAAAAGAAAACTGCCAAAAGTGCAAGCATGTCACTCCTGTTACTCTGAAACTTTATTTATCCTGTCCTGCTGGAATCACACAGAGAACAAGTTCAGATGATTTCAAATCCTTCCTAAAGGATACCTAAATTGGAATGTTTAATTAGACTTCCTTAAGCTTGTAAAGACAAACACAACACCTCTAGGTGAGAAGTAAATTAGTTCAACAATGGATGGTTAATTGTAATTAACAAAAATCGGGCTTTCTAATACCATCTGAGATGCAGTTCTGGTGGCTCTGTATTCCTCAAGTGTCTTTCAAATATTCTTTGCCCACAAAGATCAGTGAAGTGTTTCACTCAGAAACACAGTCCCAAAAACAAGGAATGATCAGGATAAAATTATAAGCTTGGTGATGGCAGCAGTTACCGGACTCCATGGAACAAGAAACCCTGAGGAAAGACATATCCTGTATTTGCTTACATAGAGAAACAATACAATTGAGTATGCTCAAGCTGTCTTCAAAACCACATGGTGGAGAATAAGAGAGAGAGAAAAAACCAAACCAAAACACTTCTTTCCTGTAACGTGGCCTATTCCTTTCAGTTACAGTATGTGTAGGTACTACTGGAAAGACAGTACTAAATACTAACATCACAAGTGTGGTTTCCAAGTTAAAAGGGTCATTTAAATAAACCATCTTACATGTTTCTCACAAGCATGAAGCTTCCTTTGGTCAATGCTGAAGATCTTCTCATTGTTTAAGGGAAGCTCTGCACATATACTGAAGGATAAGGAGTTAAATATAAAAGGGATAGCCAAGAGACCCTGAGAAAGTCTGTGCTACTTTGCATTACATGTGTGTTACATAGTAGGTAGTTCACTGCCTAGGCAAAAAACCCAAACCCACTTCTATTTAGTCCTACTAAAAAGTCTAGTGCTAGCAAAGGAACAATGCTTTTGTTTGGTTTATTACAGGTCATTGTAAAAAAAAAATTACAATCAACATTTCTCCTTTCTCAGAACCCTTGTCATGTTGAATAGATTTTTTTATTATTATTCTGCTGTGTTTTCACTTAAGTATCTTGTAACAAGAACTACTCAAGAGTACTTTACTCTTCCTTTCGTAAAAGCACTGCAGTGTCTAATGTCTTGTCTGCTAAAGTCTGCAAAAAAAAAAAAATCTGCAAAAGTCACGGCCTTTTCTCCAATATTATTAACATCTATCATCGGCAAATTGTTCTAATACAACTCATTTGAGAATAAAACATGAAATAGCAGCAGATGTAAATACTGCTTCAGTAAGTAAAAAATGCACACAGTTCAAGCACATAGTTACTGCATATCTCCCTATGAAGAAACATAGCACTCTCATTCCTATTTTGAAAAAACTAAATCCAATGTTTTTACTGCAATAGCATCAGGACTACAAAGTGCAGCATATATCAACCTTCACTACCACATTATTTTGCTTTACCTCAGTCATCAAAATTGTGGAAGTCAGCTGAAACTCCTTGCTCATGCCTGTTCCAGTGAGCACCTAGGAGAGGAAAGCGCTCGTACCTGAACCCTAAAGAAAAGGTGGATACACATAACCCTGAAACAGCACAATATACGATGTCTTCAAAAAAGACGAAGGAGTTATTGCCAAAGCAAATTCCCACCCTTGCTTTGCTGCATACAAAGCAGGTATCTGGCCCAGGTAGCCACTGTTTTATCAAAATGCATGTGTCTTCCCTCTCTCACAGGGAGGACAACTCATTAAAGAAAAGAGTCACCAGCTATTACACAGACATTCACAGTGTTATGCAGCATGGGAGCTGCCCATCCTTAAACAATGTAGTCTTCTTGGCTGCTAATTCTTCAGGCAACAAACCTTTCTTGGAGGTCCCAATGATACATTGTTTTTTCATTCTAGTTTGTCTGTTTAAAATATTTAGGAGTGCTCATATGAAAGTGATGAATATGCTCATAATTATGTCCATCTTTATAAGATCCAAACCTAAGAAATATTCAACAAAGCAACACAATTATAACATGATTTAACCCATGCAATTAAATCATACACTTACTACAGCATAATTAATACTTCTTCTGAACATTCTAGATAGTTTATTTCAGAAGCAGGCCACAACCCTACTTACATATAGATCATAATCTATGTACACTAACTAGAGGTTTTTAAGTATAATGGTGACATTAAATGACACTGATTGGATTAATGCCATAGGCACTCTATAAATGGAACTCCAGCTGACAAAGCTGAGTGCTGCATTTATCTAGTAAAAACCCATGCTCTGTAAGTTTTTTCTACTGACTTCAGTGGAGATAGAATATTCAACCATATTGTTAATATTGCACATCTTCATTCTTAAAATTATGGTGAAAATTGCAATTTTTCATGCCATATTTAAATCTGAAAGTTTTGACTACTGACTATTACAGTAGGTAGATTTGCACAAGTAAAATGTAGTACTTATTCAAAATATCAGTGCTAAATAGCATTTAAAAGTAGTGCCATTGTACTTCAGAAGAAATATAGTTGATTGGAAAATGTTAAACTCATTCCTAAAGGGTGTAATTTTTTTCTCTTTATAGGCAGACAAAAGAAATTAGGAGAAGAAAAATATTATGTGCTGAAATCAACTGAGAAAAATCTGAATGTGAATGCTAACTTTAGGCAAGTTTCATCATGTGGAAAAAACTGGGCAAAATTCTGCTTAGACAAGAATCAAGGGACTGAGTGCTAAATGAAAAGTGAGTAAGCTTAAGTCTTACATGTATAGAAGATATTAATATATTCTTGCAGCTATATGGTATGTTTTAAAATGCTTATGCAAAGAGTATTTAAAGAATATATTGTATTTTGTGTTCTAAATAATAGTATATTAAAACTCTGAAGTGCTGAGAAACATGGGAGATCTCTCATCATCTACAAAATGAGTCATCACACCACTTGGGAAATATCCCTATCAAACAATCTCAGAAATTAATCACCTGAGTGAAATAAGCATTACCTTCAATTTATGCTACGACACAGCAGACTGATTTTCCCAAGGCACATGTCAAGTCAGTGGAAAAAAATAGTTACAAATGAGAAATTCTTGCCTCCTAATCTGCTCAGTTTGATACTGACCAATGCTTCTCACTTTAAGAACAATTTTGTTTCTAGACCTCTCTTTCACAAGATGTCATGAATATCATCTACTTCATTTCTTATGAGACACACTGACCTGGGATTAAAATGGATGTCCTCAGGAACTTGGCTGGGATCAGTGACAATTCTGTCATTATCAACATAGCTATCCAAGTCATCCGGGATCCTAAATTTGGCCATCTGGACTTCTGAATCACTTAAACCAGCATGAGATATACGGGCATAGCCCAACCTATCAGACAGGAAGAGTTAGTCTGAAGAAATAATTAAAGGCAATTTCACCACATTCATGTCTCTCTTTTCAAGGAGTTATTATCTAACCTACAAACACAACATTCCATTTCTGTGAATGTCACCTTCAAATAATTTCTAGTGTAAATTATTTTTTAAATTAGTTTTAGAATATTGTTGTGGTTTCGGGCTGGGTTGGCCACTAACCTGGACACATATACATACTGGTCTAAACTCAGTGAGGAGATTTTGAAATTCAAGAAAGGAACTCAAGCATCAGAATTGAAATGGGGAAAATTTGATCTGAATTAGATTAGAATGGAGGTTTTGTTGGGTTTTTAGTTAACTTTTTTTTTTTTTACTCAATACTGTTACTTAAGACAGCTGACTCGTTTACTAGTTTTACTCCCGTGAACACTGCAGAATTTGCAGTTTATTCAGAATAAGCTGAATTCCATTCTGCTACATACATCACCAAAAGAATGAATTACAAGCAACTTGGTAATAAAAGATATGGAGTGCATAGGTCCCGACAGAGGACAGTGCTTCAATATGGGCTTACACAGTTAAAATTTCCACTAAATCCAGCATAAGGCTTGGCTGGATTAGATCATTTTGCTTCAACAAACCCTACAATCATAGTTCAAAATTTGTATCTTCTGTCTCACATACAAATTAGGGCTTAGCCTTCACGTTTCAGAATGAAGCTGTAAAGCCAGAGCTTTGGAAAAATATAGTTCTATGTTACCAAAGCAGATGAGATCTGAAGGCTTTTGACACAGAAGGGTAAAACCTGTAATACTGTCTTTCTAAATTATATTCAGAAATACATAAATTCATCCTGAGATCAATGTTTCATATTACATCATGGTATATCTAACTGTCCATACATAATTGTTTAGTGATATAAGACTCTTCCATAATTACCTACAGAAGGGTGTAAACTGTTTGTCATAAAGTTCTTTAAAACCAATAAACAAATGATCTACTTTAACATACCTTATTACTCCACGATACATAATATAGCTACACCATCTGTCATGATCTGTACTGTCAATATCCTATGAGTGAAGGGGAGAAAAAAGCCAAACAAATAAGGCAAGCTTTCCTTATAGGTAGACTTTAAATCAGTTACAGAACCAAGGTGCAAACCTGCTGCACAAAAACATTTTGCCAAAAACATCCTAATAAAGTAGAAAGGCAGAAACTCAGTTAGACAAAGACAAATCAGACAACAAATATTGACACCTTCTGATAGAAAACCAAATTGCAGAACTCAGTTTCAAAACAAAAAAAATAGCAGAATTAGAGGTTGGAGGGGATGTCTGGTCATCCACTCTCAACCCCATGCTCAAAGTAACTTCAAGCAGGTTGTGTAGTGCCTTAAGGAGCCAACTTCTGAATATTTCCAGAGACAGAGAATTCACAACTTCTCTGGGCCCCTGTTCTAATGCTTGACAACACTAACTGTGATTGCTTATTTTTTCTCTTCTGCTATCTGACATTTCCCTTGTGGCAACTGCTGTCTGTTGCCTCTTGTCCTTTCACTGTGTAACTCCACCTTCTCTATAACATCATGAGATAACTGAAGATTGTATTTGAAAATGTGCACGTATTTTCTTACCAGTTTGAAATACTAAGTTGAATGTTTCAAATACATATTATCTCTAACAGCTAAAAGAAGTGGTCTTTTTACATTACCTGGACATTTCCATTTTCTATTAATTCAGTATAATCTCTGGATCCAGGAGCTGAAGTGATGTATCCTAGAAATACAACTTGCTTAGAGCTAGTCTTCAATAGGTTTGAAACAGCTATAGCCTGGAGTTTTCTGTCCAAGTCCTCCCTGAAAGAAATGGAAAAGACTTTAACATGTATATATTTTAGCTCAGAATCTCTTTGCTCTAACATAGTAAACTGCAAATGAATCTGACACCATTTTTATTGCTCAGGATTAGAGAGTATGAAAGTTTACAGAAAGCTCACTGTTTCAAAATTATCATTATGTTCGATAAAAGCTATGTGGTCATGGTAGATGTAATCAGAGTTCTCTTTCTTACCATTATAGGTACCACTTTTTCTATTACTGTTTTATTTTTAATACTGATCTCATCACTGTGAAATGTAAATGTAAGTGCTTTGGTTTTCTAAGGCTTTGTCTCTGCCTGCACTTGAAATTTAATTGTGCTAGTGCAGAATGGTGCATGACAAAGAGCTCACATGCTAACAAAACTGTTATGATAGATAGATCATGGTAAAATAGTCTTAAAGCCTGGGTCAGATAATTTATGAAATATAACTTAAGAGCTACATCATCCCGCTAACACTTAATGACATTTGGCAGGTATTCTGCATCTCTTTAACAAGACTTACACAACAGTTCCAACATGACCAAAAGTGATAGCGTAAGTGGAGCCTGGTAAAATACTGCATTGGATCCCATTCCCTGTCCTTGGATTTGTCACAACATAATGTGATACAGTTCTCTTTCTATGATTCTTCATGTTAATAACTTTAAACAGTTATGTAAAACATGTTCTCTTCTGTATTTTGGTAGACTGGGCTAAATTCCATTGAGATGGGGAGCCGATTTTGGAATCTGTAATCCCAAAAGAAGAGAAGAATTTAAATGCTATTATGCTTTCCACATAGCAGTACTTCTGACTGAAGCAAATGCATTAGGGAGAAAGAGCACACAGACAAGAGACAAAAACCCCTAACCATTTAAACAGAAGCGTGACATAGGTATATGAGAAGGTGGCTGCTTGACTAGCTGCCCTTTCCAGAATTAACACCTCTCCAGAAGATTTTTCTTTTTAAATGACATAGGCATTGTTATAGTTCCACATTTTAAAAATAGTTCTTTTAAAAATCCCTAGTTATTCAGTATTCTGTAGTTTGTGTCAATACCTAAGCAGCAGATGAAAAAAGATGAAAAATGAGCAGTCATGTGTGTCATTTAATTACGAATTCATTCATCTCAAAACAGTCTAATTTGCAACTGTTTCCCATGTGTCTCCTCCTATTTTCTCCTTCATCTTTATCTCACCTCTCTGTGAAGGAGGAATACAGTGCTATTCTACTTTGACAAACAGCTGCTCAGAGAGGCAATTCTTATCATTCTGTGAGGCACAGAATGAAATTCCTTTCTAGAGTTCAGACTGGGAGTGGTTTCTGACAACTATATATGTTTAGTGGGAGGGAAACCTAGAAACAATTTGCATGTTTGGTGCACCACTTCTACACAGACGAAGGAAATGGGGAAGCTCAGTATCAGATAATGAGAATTCCTACTGTTTTCTGAGCAGCTTCTTTGTGTATTATATTCTGCACCAAATCCGTAAATTTGCCTCTCCATGAATTATAACAAATATTTTAAAAGTCCAAATCTAACTACATAACCACAAACATAATACTAGATATTGCAGCAAATAAAACAGAAAATACAGCTACATAGAGCATCACAAAACTACCCCTTACTAATATTCACTACGCACAAGTAACCAAAATACTGTCTTAACATCAAAAACTGAAATATATACCTTAATCTTTTCCCTCACGTATTTGAGTCATTGGTATAATTCTTCCATTCAGAATCCAGATCAGATTTTATTTTTCCAGTTTCATATAGTCAGAAGGACACTGAATGGATACTTCTGTTCCTGTTTCAACACTGTCCTTTCTTGGAGGTTTCAGAATTGTTACTTTTTATTTTAATAAATATTAATTGTCCATTAATGCTAACTATCTGTAACTATCAGCACTCATTGTGGAATATAATAGACTTATTCCATGTGGAGAAAGTCAGAAAGACGCTATCCTGCACTGAGATGTATCTGTAGCCCTATTACTTGTTATGGTTTTGCAGAACTATATCTTATATCACTGGTAACTCAGTTACTAGGCCCAGCTGAGTTTTATTTGTTCAACCAGTAGCTATGTCATAGTATCTCCTCCAGTGGGCTTCATTAGAACCAGGATTACAGCAGCAGATTTTAAAGGGTACAAAAGAAATCCCAGAAATTCACAAATCACAATTACATTACACGACTTTGCACCACATAATGTAACAATAAATAAAATACACACTCTTCATTTCCAAAGTGGGCGACAACAAAATCAACCACTTTTCCTGTGAAGTTGACTGTCATGGAGATGGCAGGTGCAATCTCTCCCTCTGGAGATGGAAGAAGGTGATGGGTAGATTTTACAATTGGATACCTTGACAGAGCCATAATCCTACATGAGAAGAGGGAAACAGTTACATTTTGTAGTCCACAAGCATCACAAGTGTGAACTAAGGAGATAAATGTGAGCAGATGATTAATGGTCATCAAATTCAAATCATCAGACTGGAACACAAACTGTCTCTGGTAGATTTTTCTGAATTTAGAACAATTTCCTCTAAAGTATTGCTGTAGTACATGTCTAAAAATGTATTATCAAATTCATTCCTACACTAAGAAATATCATTCCATATACATGAGTGCTTACATCGAGCCTTTAAAAATCTGCATCCTCAGACAAACCAGAATTTTATACTATCAGGAATTAAAATGTATTTCATTAGAAGTAGAAGCAGACAGAGATACATCTTTAAAGCAGGAGATTTCTCATTCTTTCCGCTTCTGTTTGGAATCAACCTTAAAACCATTTTGCATCAGGTTTCGCAAAATATTTCATTAAGAAAATTTCAGAAAATTACTTTTCTGTCTCATTCTGCATCACTTAAAGACACAGGCTTTGAAAGAGAAAAGTTACTAAATTTCTGTCACATATGGCAAAAATTAAATAGCCATTGCAACATCACTAGGAAGTTCCATCTGCATATCCCCCTTAAAAAAAAAAGCCACATCATAAGCCACTGTTTTCCAGAGGGCAAAGATATTAAAAAATATGCAACTGGTAGTTGATCAAACATTCACATACAATGAGACACAAAAAAGTCTGGTCAAATTGATGTGCACCTTTCTATGCCCATTTCCCACTATACCGAACAAGCTGGATTTAATGAACTCAAAATTTCTAGTAACTCCAGCTGCAGTTATGTTTTCCAACTGCTACCACATTTTGAAATCTGAAATCTAAAGATCTTATAACTCAAAACCAAATAATGAGAAAAGTGAATCAGATACAGTACTTAGAATGCCAAACTTCCAAATCTGTACATTAAGGGGCAGGATGCCATTCTCTGCATCACTGAAGCCAAAGTAGCTTACAGGGGGAGGCACTAAAACGTGATCATTCTTAACAACCAGAAAACTTCATCTGCATTACATTGTAATGCTAGGGAATCAAAGCTCCAACAAGTCGTTATGGTGATTAGTATTCCAATTATTCTTTGCCCATGTTCTAGTGGAGTTAGTATTGGGAAGCGTATTTACACTTATTTACTGTCATGTAAAGGTAACTCACCCCCAAGTGTGATCTCTTGTGCTTGGACCAAAATCTGTGTAAAATCCTAGTCTTTCTCCTAGCCACATTGTTGGATCATTGTTCCCAATGAACGGTTTAGAGGCATCACTCTCTATAATAGTGATAAAATCTGCACCTAAAATGGGGAAGAAAATAAAAAATCTTTCCAAATTTATAGCCATAACCTATAAATATAATTTATTAAATTACTATAGTGTCATCATTTCTCTTTTGATTACACAGGGATGGACACAAGCCCTTCAGGAGTCAATCAGGGCAAGTCTGGCAACAAAGTCATGCCCAAACCTTTTGGACACTGTAGGCTACAAAGACTTTGATGGAGAAATACTTAGTGTCTGGATGCCATAGCTCCTCCCCGGTGCATAACCACACACATGAGACTGCACAGTACAGCTGGCCTGCACAGACCCCAGTGCAGACCATTTCAAAAGCATTAGATATAATGTGCATACACAGATTAACAGCACAGTAGCAAGTCCACTGCTTTCAACTTCGTGAACAAGAGTTGCGCAGCACATCTGCACCTACCTTTATCCTGCACTTAATCAATCACAAATCCTACGCTGTTCCAAAGGGTCCTGTGCAAGAGGGAGCAGGTTGTTGCTGCCAAAATTATTAATCAGCCCATAGCAACCCAGCATGAGCCCCAACGCATGGTAACAAAAGGGTTCCCAGCTCTAGTTAACTGTTGACCATCCTCAGCCACCTCACTTTCTCAGGGCACTGTGGTCCCTCCCTGTTTACATGCTGAGGTGTGGTTTTGTCAGGGGAACATGACACGTTCCCCTATATTTTAGTTACAGGATACAGGAAAAGCCTTGTGGTCCCTGAAGGAACTGGCAGCTAGGAAGGACCTGTCCATGTCTGAAGGAAGGTGGGAGTCTGCAACCTAGCCACAGGCTCAGCATGAGCAGCAGGTCAGCAGCAGCAAGTGCTTCCTTCTTGCTATGATTATGTCCCACTCGGAGTGCTCTCCCACTCTAGAAGGCAGATTGAGTTACCACTTCATTTGCAGCCCTTCAATAAGGGATTTAGACTGCTAAATCCAGCACCACTCCTGCCACATAAGATTTTTTGCCTTTGAAATGTCTTGTTTAGCACTATGAAAGCAATGTTAGCAGGGAACATGGTAGCTCAGGGTATTTTAAGATCCCCAGATTTTTGCTTCTACATTATTAGCATACGCACTGGCTACAAAAACAACGAAACCACTAAGAAGGGCTAATGTTGGTTCCCTTCAGGACAGACAGGAGTTCCAGCCACCAAAGCCACTACATTTTGCATCTTCACTATTTCAAGGAAGAGAAGATGAACCCAAGGAATGCACACCACCACACCTTTAAAGATAAACCCCATGTTGAAGTTAGCCACTCTTTTCTCTGTGGCTCTCAAAAATCAGCTACTCTTCTTTAGCAAAAAAATCATTTAGGAATCTCTAGCTTAACTGCTGGAAATTTTATTGTGGCATTTTATATAACAATACACATCACAGAATCGCTCGGTTGGAAAAGAC